AATAAATTTTGTAATTTTTTAGTTTATCACACATTTTAACACGATTTTGAAAAAAAAAAAAAACCTGTTTGATAAAGTCACCTCATCTACAGTAACACTGTATACATTTTTCAAAACACCCTTGACAGTTTGACGCACTCAACATAACGGCAAGCACGAACCTTTTCTTTAAAGTCATCTTGGCCAAAAAGTCTAGACACGAAGCGGCCTTCTAATTGAATGGCAAAGGCTTCGACTTTGAAATCGTCTTCGTTCTCAGTTTTTCCATCTGAAACAATTTTCCTTTATAAAGATACGTGATCAAGGAGTCCATGTTTGCTTATCATATATACGTATGTTCTTAACAAACGTGCTTTTTATTACAAGAAAAATGGCTCCTAAGAAATTTGTGTGTTCTTGGAATGTTTTCTTGATTGTCATGCTCCTCCTGGTCTCTGCAATGGGATCAAGGGATCTGCCAAAGACCACCATGCCTCGTATGACCCGTAAGTAGTATCTGCTCTCTTTCTCTGTTCTTAAGAATAGTGAAGTTCTCGCAAGTATATAAAAGAATACTTGAAACAGATTATTTGAACATTTTCCTAATGACATATATTATAACAGTGAATTATATGATTTATTTTTTTGGGTTCATACAGGCGAAAAGGCTTATCATCCTAGGATACTTCAGGGACGGAAGAGTCCTAGAGGAGGAGTTCCTAGGGATGGCCATTACTAGGCTTCCCTTCCTAGGGTTCAATTAATTATATTTTCTTACCTCCTCTCCTGATTTGTGCCTGGCATTGACTATGCTCAAGGGCTGAGCCTGATATAAAAAAGTCCTGCCAGAATTGTAGCTGGAAAGAGAGAAATAAATGACTGAAGATAATATCTTTTTTTTTTTAATAAAAATGTTGCAAAATATGTCTCTCCTACCAGCTAAGATTTATTAACTTGTTATGATTTGATGGTTAATCTTAACATCAACGTCCAGATCAGACCATGGTATAAAACCAGTTCTTAATGATCTGCTGGCTGCTGGCAGTTTCTGAACCGAGAATTGATCGCTTGCATTGATGGATGGAAGACAACTATCTTTTTAATGACTCGCAAAACAACACGTTAAACTGCAGATTCAAGACTTTTCATTGCATAATACATGCTTAATGCGCAACACACAGATTTTCCTCCAAAAAAAAAATATAAATAATTTCAATTAGGAACGAGGAGTGTTCCCAGCATGCACCCTGCACCGTCTCAAATGAAATGGAAATCTCTGATCTAGTAGATCATAGGCCTTCGCCGCTTATCAACTCTGTTTGAGTATGGAGATGGGGGAAATGGAACACAAAGTTATGCAACTATATAGCAAAATGTATGATTAAAAGCTGACAGTTCTTGATTTCTCTTTCTGGTTTTTAAACGTTAATTCCCCTGCTTCGTTAACTGGAGCAATGTGTCGGCAAAATAAAGGTTTTCAATTTTAACTTCTCTTTCGGCCCGTGCTTATATTATTTCACTGGCCTGCGATATTCCCCTAAGGCCCTTTTCAGTTAGAGTTTGCTTGGGCGGCCAGGGAAAGAGCTCAGGTTGAGTCACTAATGGCAGCATCCTAGTCACCAAGCAGCGCAGGGCACTTAACATGTCTTGAGAATGTTTCTGATAGTGCCAGATTCAAATTCAGTTTTTTTGTTCAATTAAGTCCAGTGCAGTGAGCCAAAAAGCTTTCGAATTATTGAAGTTCTAGAGCTTGAATAATCACTACTGTTGAGCATGAACTCAATGCAAGGCCTTCTATTTTATCAATCATCAACGCATCATTAAGGTTCGTATGAACTTGTTCATCCTATTACTTTGAGTATCTTTCTTCTGCGTACAAATGACTTTAAATTATCAACCGAGAAGATGACATCAAATTGAACGGAAAGGGGAAGGAGATTATCAACAGGTTGTATCAGATCACATAAACACAAGCCAGAATGTTTTTTGCACCGAAAATGAGCCTCCTTCCAAAAATAAAAGCTTATTGGCTTCTGTTCTCAATAGAGTTTTTATTTCTTCAAAGACCTTTTAAGCAAAGTAATAAAATGTATGACAGGGTACACAAGTCAAGAAGACACGGCTGCAATTTTTATGTCTGAAATATCTTCGTCGCCTGTGAGCAAAGATAATTTTGTAATTGAAAAGGAAATAGTGCCTTCAATCGAAAGGAAAAGAGAAAGAAATCACCTGAGGTTTATCAGACACAGCAGAAACACAGCTCCGCGTGCATTCAGTTTGTGACTTCGTGTACCAGAATATAGGCTGTCGAGAGTTTTTATTTCTTGGGAGATCGTTTTTTAACCAAGATAATAAAAGGTCGAAGGGTACTCCAGTCACAAGTGCTCCGTCCGGAAAAAAAAAAAAAAACAAAAACTGCTGTTGATAAATTGATATATAATTTTTGTTATCCAAAATTCCAAATCAAGTTCCTGTTTGCAGGTTTCATGACAATGAAATCAATTGTGATCTGCCATGTAAACACACAGTATCGGCCGTGTAAATTAGGCCAAAAGATACAAAATTCAGAAAGATTATCAAGGGAAAGAATTTGCCAACAGATTCTCAACCACGTTACTTTTGGTTCTAGAGTGAGTTCATCCTTGCAAGTAAAGAAGGGACATCAATCAGGAGTACACATCAAAATGAATAAATAATCAGGGTCTTATTCTTTTCAATTGATGTTGCTACTGATTATACTTGGGCAGATAGTGTAATACCAAGCTACTATATATTTTTTTATTCTAGAAAAGGGATGAGGAGTTTCGACCTTCTTAAATTCATGTTCTGAAGTTGTGTACTTTGTAATTAAATGAGCAACCTTTTCTCTTATATATCATTTTTTGCTTCATTTTCTCAAACCTAGAGATTGAAAATGAGCAAAAACAAAAAAATACAATTGGATAAAAAAATACAATCCCCAGAACTACAAGGAATGAAAAAGTAGACAAAGTAAGATATAGGAACTAAAAATCACTTATTCTTGTGAATTTGAAATTAGACACAAGGTTTCTCCTTGTTTTACACTTTGATATTTTTTTTGTTGAATTTGTTCTTTCTTTATCAAATGATAACAAATTGTCCAATAACTTGTTCCTAAAAGGTTGTAATTGTAAAAACAAAACGTTTAAATATGAAACTAAAAAAATAATTTGATTACTTTGTATTGTTACAATATTTTACATATACATTTTAGTATATTTTTTAACTAGAAAAATAGCTTGGGGTACACTACGGATTAGACTAAATTTTTTTTTGAACATACAAAAAGAATATTTAGGTCACATAAATAAAACTTCTTGACATTGCCATTAAATCTGACATAACGGACCGACCTTGAAAGCTTCTAGCCCTACTCTTTACCTAACTTGAGCTTAAAATAAATCATTTTGGAATTGCGTTGATGCAACACACTTAATTTGACAAATGTAAAGACAAACTAAATGACATATAAAAACATGATTTGAGTTTTGAAAAAAATCCAATATGATAACTTTTTTTTAAAATATTAAGAGGATAATATATTGGATTGACTAACTCAATCAATCAAACTTGCAAAACAAGTTATAAACACCACCGACTTTAATAAATTTATTTTTTTAAAAAAATATTTTTTATTTAATTATAAAATAAAAAATATACTTTTAAAAATTAAACATCAATCTAATGACAAGATATTTATTTGATAACTTGATAATCTTATGAAAAGCAAACTAAAACAAATCATGAAACTCAATTTTTAAAATACTCTTTTTTTTTTCTAATTGAGAATCAAAAAAATGCTATTTATGTTTTAGAAAATAAATTAAAAAGTATATGAACTAATAAATAAAACATTTTATTAACACTAATTAAATATTAAAGTGAGAAGCCAATCTTCAAAGTTTAAATAAGAAATAAGAAATAAATGTACATGTAAATGTTTTACATCAACTATCTCTTTTGTATTAAATGTTTCCATTCATTATTATTTTAGTGGCTATTTATCGTTGCTAATAACAAATAATTTTTATTTTTATAAAAATTTTATACAAATATAACTAATTTATATAAAATATAAAGGAAAAAGATTCAATACAAATCAAACTAATCTCTTCAAAATATCATATAACTAAAACAAATATAAAAAATTAATCATATTTAAAAAAAAAAGAAGCTAATTTAATAGAAACAATTAAGGATAAAAGATTAAAAAAAAAATAAAGGCCA